TGAAATTTGTTTATATTGACAGTTGCCCTTGTGGCTCTTGTCTGACCTGTGCCCAGTTTATTCCTACCAAGAACAAATTTTTAAAAAGAAACAAAAGACAACTTGAAATTTAAAAAAAAAAAAAAAAAGATGACCACTCTTTAGGAGAGCATTGACAAGAATAAAAGTTAGGTACATTTGTGTTGTTTGAATGATACATGGAGAAGGCAGCACAACAAAAATACATGAAAGAACAGTTTATTACTTACATGTCAGAGAGAGAAGGGGACTACTGATGAGAGCTGACAGGAAGGTTTCAGGGGCAATGTGATTAAACTACGATTTTGAAGCCAAAGAAAAAGAGAAATGGGCCAATGGGAAAAAGCCTTGGGGGGCCAGAGCAGTACTCAAGCAGGCTTTCCATGGGCAGTTCTAATTGGTGAGTTAAGAACAAGCAGGCTGGAATCTTACTAGAACTGAGAGGTGGTTACTACAGCATAACCAACCAACTATCAACGTGGGGTATTGGGAACAGTGGGGCAAGTTAAGTAGGTTGTATCTTCATGTCCTAGAGGGAGGTGATTACCAAGAATTGACTGTACAAGACAAATATCTGGATTGACCACATTGAGGAACAGGTAGGGGCAGAGAACTGGAAACTGTGTCAAGGGTGACTAAGCACTGCTTCTCTTATGCTGAAGCAACATAGAATTATAGGAATCTACTACATTATATACATTTATTTTGTTTTGTTTTGGTTTTTGGATTTTGGTTTCATAAATTTAAAGTTTAGAAAACATTATTCTAACAAACTTGCAAGCTTATTAATTACTTTGTTGGAGTTGTGGAACAGCAGACAAAAATGAACCTAATCAAAGGTGAATTTTAGAAACAATGTTGAGTAAATGAATCACAGAAGAATATATGTAGTTAATTATTATTAATATACAATTACATGTATTAACTAAAATATAATTTAGGGAGAATTAAATGTGTTAAAAAGCTGAAATTTAGTCAGTGAAATGATAGAAACAAAATTCAAGATGGTAGTTGCCATCTCGGGAGAGCAGGGTTCACAAAGGAATATGTAATGGTATTAATAATATTTCACTTTTTATTGAATACAAGCTGGACTCATTTCAATATGCTTCAAAATTTACATATATCATTTTTATCACATAAATTGTTGCATAAAACATTAAAATAACATAGGTTATCAGGTTTGTCAGATAGGAAGCTAGAAGATTTAATGCATGTGAACACATCAAATGGCAAATTTGCAATACTAAAACATCCTAAAAGCCTGAAACAAATGGATTAAATATAGTGATTATTATAAATTAGTTCAGAATGTAGAATTAAACATTGAAGTTCATTAAACCAAATTCTGAATGAGAAACACATAACATATATAAGACTTTAAGTTTGGAGAAGAATCTGTGCAATGTCTACCCATATTGCCATATGACTGACTCAAACATGGGTGAAGTGGGGTCTGTAGAATGTGACGGGATCTCAGGCAATTGGAAACCAGCAAGATCTTATATGAGCAAAGAGGAATACCCAGGCCCTCAGAGAACCATGCTGTGAGAAGGGCCCCAGGGCTGGTATGAGTCAGTAGAGATTTTCACCTAGAGCAGGAAGAAACAGTCATCATCCAAAGGGTGAATGTAGGTTGTGGTTGATAAAAGAGGCCAAATTTAGTGGCAGAATAGCATTAGCAAGCATCAAGCCTGAGGAGTGTGAAATGATCTTAAAATAGAGAGGCTGTGGCATGAGGCTGCTGATATGCTTTCAGCACCAATCAGGGTTTGTTCAGGACTTGAGCAGAACTGAACCTCAAGACAGTTTCCAATGACTCCTATTCAGTGTGCTTGGGGCGGGAGACAAGAACTGGCTGTCCAGATTTTGAGGATCAAAAGAAGAACAGGAGACCGTAACCAATGGGAATTGCCAGGATCTACTCATTTCTACTCCCTGCCTATAGCAAACTTCATCCCTCACTGTATCCTGCTTTAAGGATTAAGCTTGTCCCTTGTCTTTCATTAATAACTGCTTATCTCCTGGCATCTTTCTTTTCTCCTCTCCATTTGGAAAACAAGAGATCAAGTGGGTGAGTATCTAGATAGGAGGGCTCCATCACAGTAGAGAAAGAGTTCAGAAATATTCCCAAATGTTGTCATGAACCCAAAGAACAATGTGTTCCTTAAGGTGAACACTCTCCTACCACCTTATAACTCACTCAATCCTAACCTCAGTTTCCAGTGCAAAGAAATAACACAAGATCGTTATCTGGCAGACTGATAATCAAAGGTCTAAATTCCCAAACTTGAAAAATTGCAATAGCTACCATGTGGGTTTAAGGTATAAATTGTTTTGATTATATATATTTTTTACACTGCTATTCAAATAAATTTGGGGCAGTTTACAAATATACATGCATCAAAACAGCATAACTATTGGTTTTTAAAGATATACATTTATGAATACAAGTTAAAATCTTTTACATATTTATTTAAAATTGAAAAAATAAAATTTTACAGCAGTCATAAATGACAGTAAAATGTTATCTAGGGACATCTAGATGTTCATGAAGAAATTATCTTGCATTGATTTTTAAAACATGGCTTTACTCTGCCCACCTTCATCTATGGACTCACAACAACACTTGAGTCAAGAAAACCCACACTTGACCTGGGGCTTACAAAATTCCAAGTTTCCGGATGAAGACTCAAAAAAATTCCACAGATAATTAAACTTAAAGGAAATAGAAGCATACATTAAAATTAGTGTAACATTCATCTTCTGTTAGAGTCTGTAAACAAGTCAGGATGGCGCCTGGTATTTTGCCAGGGGGAGTGGTTTGTGAGGTGGCGCCAGTGAGCCATTAAGTGTGGAGATTCCTTATTGGTTGACTGCTGAATCTAGTTTATGTTAATTAAGATAAGCTGTGTGGAATGTATATATACCACTCCTGTCCTACAATAAACGGCTCCCACTCCTGCTGTATCAATGTACACAAGTTGCTCATCACCCCCCGGTTATTTTGATGCAGCCGGAATGCGGCAATCTTCATTATATTCTCAAATAGTACCTGAATTCTGAAAATGCTCTCTATGTTATTAAAAATAGGCCAAGTGACAGTTGAAGTTCCAAGAGTTTTTCCATTGGTTTCATTAGATGAATTTTAGAAGAGTGCCATTATTATGATGCTCCACCTCCTTCCCCAGACTGAAACAGGCCATGGTTCCACTTGCCATTACCACCAGGAAAAGAATGAATGACACAGCTTGTCTGTTCATCTTGACTGATGGTTCTACTAGGCCTTATGGGTTCTCATCAATGTGGCAGTCCTGCAATAGCCAACAGATGAAAAGATGTTTTCAAGGACCCTCCAAAGTACATGAGAAGACAGCTTCCATTCAGCATATTGTCAGTGGAGCTGAAATCTTGCAAAATACTGATTGAAATCATACAATTGCCCAAGATGAAATATTTATGGATTATATTTTAAAAATTAGCAATGCTAGTGTGGGAAAGTAAACCCCAGAGAAACACATTGGAAGAATGATGTTTTACCAACTCTCATGGTACAAAGGGTCAGGTCACATAATTCCTGTGCCTCACCAGGCTCTACAGGCCAAGCTTTCTAGATCCCTGCCCCTACTATTTGATCCAGATCTTTTAGCTACTATGTTCCTTTGTTTTCCCTGAACATTTGCTCATGCTATTCCTACCATCTATAGTAAATTGTTCCTTTAATCTTACTAGACCCACATTCCCAGCCTCTTTAATTAGTCTCATATGTGAGATGGAGGTTAAAAGGCCTTCCACTCCTCCAGGAAATCTTCCTGGACCACACCCCTGCAAGCTGAAGGATGGCTGAAACCCACATTATAAGCAACTCCAGTAGCCTATATATCTCTTTCACAGCACACATGTGATTGTTAGCTCAATTTCTATTTCCCACACTGAGATTTAGGCTGTGTGAGGTCAGGCCTGCTCTCAATCTTGTTCAGCACTATAACTCCAGAGCCTTTGCAGGCACACAGCAACCTGTTTAAATCTGGTAAACAAGATGAATAAAAGCAGGAACTAATTTCTAGGGGTCTGGTTACTAATGCCAGCTTTCCTCTGCAGTCAGGGTTTAGGAGACAGGAGGGCAACAGGTACTGAAACCAAAGCAAAGTGGACCTACCTGGAAGCAATATAAACTCAGAATAATGGTAGTTATGCTGATATATAACTGATAGAACTCTTTTAAGTCTATGCCCCAAACCAATCAGCTCTATTGTATGATCCCTAAGGAAAGAAAGGAACAAGGGAAGAGTAGCCTGAGGGGTCAGGGTAGGAGGGTGGGGAGATGTCAAGGGAGGCTGGCCAGGCTATGCCCCCAGGGCTTCTCCTGTGGGCTCAAGTGTGGGTAAGGCAATGTCATTCTGCTGGGACAAATACATACAGACACAGAGCATGCCTGGCATGGTGACAAGGTTGGAGTAGCGCGATGCAGCCAGCGTGAATCTGCCAAGGTCACTAACTTGGAGGGGGTATAGGATCTCTAGAAGCCTAGGCGGCTAAAGGTGCTGGAGGACGTGGTCCCAAAAGTGTCCTCAAGTTCTTCCAGCAGGTTGTAGATATTTGGTGTGGTGAGCGTGTGTGAGGTGTGCGCACAGAGGCCCAGGCAGCTCTGGTCCCTGCAGTACCTGCGATGCCAGCAGAGGCAGGCGGGGCCAGACTGCATGTGTGAGAGAGGGGAAGTGGGGGTGAGTGGGAAGCGGGGACTGGGACACTGAGCACAGGAGTCCTGAGTGAGGGAGTGGGGACTCTGAGTGAAGACTCTAGGAACCCAGAGGCCAAGGCCCAGAAGCAACACCTTTCCCCAAAGAAGAGGCGCCTGGGACATAGCGTTTCCTGCAGCAGGCCCCGTGGTGAACATGCTGCAGGTTTCTTTCCCATGCTGCCCTCACAGCAGTGCTGGGCAATGGGACTGTCCTCAGTCAGGCTTGCACTGTCTTAACTGGGAGACCAGCAGGGTGATGACAGTGGCACCCACTGGAGGTTGGGCAGAAGCTCTAAAGACATCTCCTGTCTGCTTCTCCCCGCAGGTGGTGTGTGTCCCCCTGTGGATCCTCATGTCCTTTCTGTGCCTCGTGGTCCTCTATTACATTGTGTGGTCGGTCTTGTTCCTGCGCTCCATGGATGTGATTGCAGAACAGCGCAGGACGCACATCACCATGGCACTGAGCTGGATGACCATCGTCGTGCCTCTCCTTACTTTCGAGGTAAGCACCTGGGAAATCTGTCCGGCCCGCAAGCCCACCCTCCCCCATGACGACATCCTGCCTACCTGGAAAGGCAGCCCGCCAGCCCTTGACATGGTGGTGTGCCCCGTGGAGGTCTGCAGAGAAGGGCAGGGACATGGCCAAGTCCTCTCTTTCTCCTAGGCACGGGGCGGAGAGCAGTGCACCTCTCCAGCCACCATGCATCTGGAGGCGTGCACCTTCTGCTTCTAGGAAGGGAGAGTTTGAAGTCATCACTATGTATTGGAGTCCTGTAGAGAATTCTACAGTGGACACAGTTGGCTTCTTACAACCAACACCAGGAATGTTTCCCATGAAACCCCTGGTGGTGACAGTTTTCCAAGTGGATGGACTTTTGCTTGGTCCTGAACAAGCAGGCCAGCGGGCGGGCACCTGGTTGTTCCCCACAGGAAGCATGGTTTTCTGCCCTTGCCATGTGACTCTCCCTCTTCCGAGACCTAATAAGGGAGGAGGTGTGTAGTGGGGCAGCTTCAGACTTTGTTCCTTTCCAAGTGACACATTGACAGGACCCTGACTGTGTCTCTTCTCTAGATCTTGCTGGTTCATAAACTGGACGGCCACAATGCTTTCTCTTGCATTCCAATATTTGTGCCCCTGTGGCTGTCGTTGATCACACTGATGGCAACCACATTCGGACAGAAGGGCGGAAACCACTGTACGTACTCTGTGCCTGAGAAGCACTGGGGAGGGGTGTGTGTGTGTGTGTGTGTGTGAGAGAGAGAGAGAGAGAGAGAGAGAAGGGGGAGGGGCTCTGCTCTATGGAAGGATGAGTCAGAGGGCTCTGATTTAGGAATAGCCATGGGGACTCTAGGGCTGAAGAAGGTCAGGCACCTCCCAAGGCAAGGGCAGCTGTCACCCTTGCTTTGTACTGGCCTGCACCCCAGCTCTCCTCCAGGCCGTGCATGCCTTGATTACAGGCAGGACCATATAAGGCAGGCTGGCTCTCCGAGCTCCTGTGCCCTCCTCTGCAACCCAGGTCTCGTGAGGCTAGATGAAAAGTCCTCGTCTGCCCAGAGAACCTGGGGAATCCTCCCAGGTCTCTTTTTGTGCCTCCCTTCCCCAGTGTCAGTCTGGACATCACAGATTCTGGTCAGTTGTACGTGGCCAGAACACTCTGCATCTCTTCCTGCATGCTGACATATGGATTCAAAATCATGTTTGCAGAGGGTCCTTCCTCACAAGGCAGTGAGCACCAGTGCATGGACCCCAGAGCACTGCCCTTGCGGAAGCTCGGGGCACTGCCAAGAGCAGCCCAAGCCATGCTTGCTGCTCTTGTCCTGGGAGAGCCAGCACTGAGCCAAGTCTCCTGAGTCGCAGAGAGGGAGAGCTGACCTCAGGGAAGTGACTTTGAGGAGGGCCCATGAGCGGTAGTTCATGTGCTCTAGTGCCCAACCGAATCCCTGGAGGGCCAGCTCAAGTGGTGTTCCTGGCCCAACCCTAGCCCAGCCCACCCCAACGCTTCTGAATCAGGAAGGCTAACCCCTGAGCTGCATAATCACATCCTAAGAGCACCCCAGGAATGTCCTTGCCGAGAATTTGGATCCTCACTTTGAGAACCTTGGAGCTGGAGGGATTCATTCTTCCTCCACTGGCCCTGCAGAGCCTGGTCGGCCATCATCTCCGAGGAAGCTTGGGAAGCATTACATAGTGAGAGTAAAGCTTCCTGTTGAGTAAAGAGAACAAGAAGGAAATCCACGGAGACTAGCATTTGAAAAGGAAAATTCTTCTTTTTCAGGGTGGTTTGGTATTCGCAAAGATTTCTGCCAGTTTCTGCTTGAAGTCTTCCCATTTTTGAGAGAGTATGGAAACATTTCCTATGATCTCCACCATGAAGACAACGAAGAAACTGATGAAATCCCAGCTCCAGAGCCTCCTAAAATCGCCCCTATGTTTCGCAAGAAGGCCAGGGTGGTTATTACACAGAGCCCTGGAAAATACGTCCTGCCCCCTCCCAAGTTAAATATCGAAATGCCAGACTAAAGGACACCGGCAGGGCCAGAGCATGAGTGGACTGGGACGCACGCTCTCTCCCTCCCTCTGCCTCTCCTTCACCCTCCTTCCCCGAGACCCCGAGTGGAGCTGGGCCTCTAGGGATGTCCATCTCATGCCTCGTTTGCATTCAGTGCCAATCAGCTGCTCACCACGTCGGGATACAGAGGTGGCGGGGAGGGTTGGGGGTGTCTGTGGATATGATGCCAGGGGCCGTGAAGGAGAGAGAAGAACCGAATTCCATGAGAGCGGGTGTCTAAGGCACCTTCTCTTGCCCATGGTACCACCTGGGAATGGCTGCTCCTGAGACCTGCAGGGGGAGATTCTGTCTACAGGACAGCTTCACGGGGCTGAAATTCCTGTGGCAAGTGTTGGTGGAAGTGGTTTCCTACAGGGCCGCCTCCCTGGACAGCTCCGAGCTGTCCCGCTGCAGGTCGGCAGTGGGGACTGTAACTGGGTCTGAGTGTACCTGGTGTTTCCGCACAGCCCCGCCGCCATGCTTAGCCCTGTCCCTGCAGTGGAGGGCTTTCCCTTTGGGCGTGCTGACAGTGGTTTCCACGGCCTCCTCCGTGAGCCCTTCCCAGTGGAGTGACTCCATGCCTGTATAGTATTTATACGGATATTTTAGCATTGTAATGTACAGTGTCAAATCCTAGTTCTGTACAGCGTACTCTGTTAAAAGTATTTTTTTACAAGCTTGTGCCCGAGACGGACGTGTTCTGCTGCAGAAGTTGGAGTCGGTGCCAGCCCTGCCCCACCTCAGAGTTGTGCCGGGCCTTCACAGGACATCACCACTTACACCTGGAATTCTGTCACGTGCATAGCCCTGCTCCTGCCAGCAGAGCCACAGCAAGCAGGAAATGACCTGTGTGTTTCCTCACGTTGGGGAAATCAGGCTGGGAATAACCTAGAAAGCAGTGCTCGGGGCCAGGACACGAGGGCAGGTGGCCAGGAGCAGACACATTCACAGATTCCCATGGGGGTTGGGGTCTGTAGCATTCTGCCTGCCGGCAAGGAGAGCACTTTACACCTGGCCAGTGCTGTCACCTGTGAGCACAGTTTCTCTCTCCTCTGCTGTGACAGCCCAGAACACGTCCAGTCCTGCCAGTGGAGTAACGTCCAGTCCTGCCAGTGGAGTAGCCTTCTGCCGAGAATCAAATAGGTCCTTCGTGCAGGTGGGTGGAGAGGACCATTGACGAGCCCGCTCAAGAGGCAAGTGCAGGTTTTCATGTGGGCAACTGCTAAATGGCCTCAAGCAGGCCTAATGGAAGTCCATCACGTCCCTGACTCTGCCGCTGGCGCTGGCCTGTTGCCAGTCTGCTATGTTTCAGAGGAAAGGGGGGAATGGTGTACCTTTCCTGCTTGGTGTGTAAAAAATGTAGTTATGTCCACTATTTTTGCTCCCTGTAGTTGTTCAATAAACCAGTTCCTTGTTTTACATACTCACCGAGTACACCTTGTTTTGTAGACAGCCGGGGAACGGGAATGGTGCTTAGCCAGTGGCAAAGGCAGCCGAGACTGGCAGGGGTGTGGGAATGTCCTTTATAAGGAGTCTCTCCATGAGGGACAGTGCCAGGGGTGTGCAGAGGGAAAGAGGGAGTGGTCAAGATTCTGTGGTTGTCTCGGTGATGCCACACTGCCGTTGTAGGATCTCAGGAGGTTTTGCTCAGTGTCCCTGGGCTGGCTGGCAGGCACTGTACACGTGGAATTGCCTTTGTAGTGGCCCTGGGGTACTCACTTTGATCGTGTGGGTAGCAGAGAGTTGCTTACCTCCCAGATGCTCTGTGTTTCTCTCTCGCCCGAGCTGCCCCTCCAGTTCAGTGGCAACTTAACTCGGGTGGCCTTTCAGAAAAGGAAAGCCACAGTTGCTGCTGGTTGAAGGCTTTCCCACAGGCAGCACAGGGCCCACACGAATCCTTCCTTCTTGAGCACATTGGATTTCAGACTCGCTGTGCAGAGGAATGCCTTATTAATTAACGTCGGAGGCTGTGACTCAACTGCCAGGTGCCGTGCTGCTCCTGTGTGCCCCTTGAATCCCCGACCCTGGGAGGCAGATGCCCAAACTCTTCTCCCTGTGAGGAAATGGAGGCCAGGAGAGGTCAGTTAATGTGTCCAAGCACACAGGTAGGAAATCCTGGGTAAAGATGGTGACACGGGCTGTCTGCTTGCACATCCCAGACCCTTGCCCACTGTGCCCTGAACCTCAGGCCCTGGCGTCCAGAGGTCCCAGGTGGTTCCTGGAAATGCCTGGAAGACCATGGAGTGCCATGCCCACAGTGGAGTGGGGACAGTCTGTGGGAGGTGGCCTTGCATGTGTGGCCAATGTGATTTGGAGGTAGCTTCAGATGGGACGTTTCCCTCTGGACCGTCCGGTGCTACACTGCACAAGAATGACTGCAGAGATCTAATGCTGGGCATAAACCAACACTTGTCCATATGGATGTGTTTCTTGGTCAGGGTTAATAAGACCTGTATGTCAAGCGAAATGGCAGATGACCTGGCCCACCATGACTGCAAAGACCCACACGGTCTGTGTGGTGGGGCACGGGTACAGACTGAGGAGAGGCAGGGAGCAGGACACCTACACCTCTGTGGGCTGTGACATTAACAGGTCATCCGTGTGCTCAAGTGGCGACCTGCCTGCCATTTGTCTCCTCCCGACCAACATGTTACGTGACTATGTTAACAGGGTCTCTGTGGAGGATGTCACTGGCCCCTGTGGCTGGGAGTGTCAAAGGATGGCGGGGCCGCAGCTGGAAACATGGGAGACATCCTAGAATTGGCTGTGCATCAGGAACATCGATTCTCTCGAGGAACGTGTGTGTGGCCAGTAGGTTGGGAAGGAGCACCCCACCTTGTTAGTGCTTCCTGGACCCTGTTGGCCAAAGGAGCTGGAGGAAATGGGGGCTGTCCATGGCTCATCCTTAAGGTTTGGCAGGTTACCTTGAACACTAATGGGCACTGCTGAGATCTTTCCTGTGGAGATGCCTTTGTGTGGACCAGAGTGTCCATGGCTGGTGGTCTGCTTGGGCTGTTTATGAGAACACTGGCCAGGCAGGTTGTGATGTCACCTCCAAGGAACCCAAGACCCCTTTTGATGTCCTGGGGTGGCGTTAAGATCAAATCGAACCAAGGACAAGCCGTCAGTGAGTGTGGCTAGGTGTGAGGTTCAGGGTCCGAGAGGCCAGGGTTCTGGCCCAGGCCCAGAAGTGTGCCTTTTCCTCAAGTGCCTATAGCGGCTAAGGCGCCTGCTACCACTGTGGCCATGTTCCCTCCTCTCTGCATTTCACCATGCTGCTGTCCCAACTGCTACTGTGTCTCAGAATACACGCCAGGCACCAGCAGTGGTCTGATGTATCCCCCCTGGTGGACCACCAGAGGTGAAAGCAAGCATTGAGTCAGAACGCATGCTGGACAACCAAAAGCACCAGAAACCCACGAGAGATCTGTGTGCACAAAAGTGCCCAAGGTATCTGTCATGTCTTTCTTCTCAGTTTTCGCAACACCCTGGGCTATCTGTGGCTCTCAGGGTAAAGACTTTAGCACCATGAGGCCCTGGAGTAATGCAGGGACCAAGACAAAACTCCAGTGGATTAGGGTTCAATTCAGTTCCCCAGAGAGGAGAAAACCAGAGAGGGCAGAGTAGAATCAACAGGAAGCGCATTTGGGGATAGCATGGCACCGGAAGAGCCAAGGTTGCAGCGGAAATTCATGGGCCGCAGCAAACTGCGTGCAGATTCCAAGAGTGAGGTCAGGCAATGGACGTTCTGCAAGGTGACAAAGACGAGGATGATGCGTGGAAACTAGACATGACAATGTCTTTCCACAGTGACCAGTACCAAAGGAATTGTTGTCTTGTGGTTTGGGCAGATGTCCTTGCACGAGTGCATTTTGTAGGAGGTTGTGGTCACCATTGAGCCAGCACCAGGTTCTGGGAGTCTTTGGTGATGGTTAGTCTCTGGCCACGGTGAGTAAGAACCCTTCCTGCATTCACTCCCACCTTGGTGTGGGTGGACACGGGTGACTGACTCCATTTTGCTTATGACAACTTTCCCACTTTAAATACTTGGCAAGTATGAAAACGTGGCATTGCGGCCCAACATTCACACTGACACTGGGTTCCTGGTCATGCTGACACGGTTCCCTTGGCGGTGGTGTGCTTTGTTTAATGGGATCTTCTTCAAATAGGTGGGAGGAGGTCAAGCCTCCCTTTGAGTTGGTCTGAACTGCACCCTTATCATTACAGTGAAGGTGCGAGACTCCCGGGGAGTCCTGCAGGTTTTGATTAGAGGGAGCCCACTCAGGTCTGCCCTACAGGATTTATGTTTGGCTTTATGCCAGCTGCTGGATCTGGTGACATTTCTTTCTTTTCAGTCATCGCACAGATGTGTTACAATGTCACATTTCCACTTGGGAGGAATCTTCTGTTCACCTGGGGGCTTTCAAACTGAAAACACATGCTGTGCTCAGGGAGTCTATTCCAGATGTGATTTCCCTTAATGATCACAGGCAAAAAGCACACACGTTCTTACCCTAGAGAACCTTGGGTTAGGACATCAAAATGCTGTGAACTCAAGTGTGGGGAGAGCTGAACACCAACACCCCAGAAGCCAGTGGTTTCCCTGTCCTTTGCTTTGAACTCCACAGCATGCAAGAGAGGCCAGTGAGAGGTGGGAAGAGCAGCTAAGAGAAAGGCAAAATGGGGATGGAGGAGACCAGGCATTGTAGCCCCCAGCCTGGCCATCTCCAGCCACTCCCTTATCATCTGGCACTCATGGGCACATTGCTGCCAGTCACGTGTCTAGGAGGCACTCCCCTGTGAACTCCTTAACTTTCACCAGGTCCACTTTCCCCATCTCCACCCACACTGTATACATGCCCACTGATCTTGATCTCGTGGGGAGGTGGGCACTTAAACGCCTCTTCCTAAATCTCGTGGGCCCCTTGCTTATGGACAATCTATATAGAAACATGGCAGATTCCAGGACTGCTGCTGGAATCCGTCGAAGGCCCCAGACAGACCCCATGAGAAGAGAGAGCCAGCCTCAAATATCAACCATGCCGTCCATGGGAGGGAGGCCCTGCGCTCCCAAGAATGCAATCTGCTTCCCCTCCCGACTGCTCCTTTCCCCACCCTGCCCCTAGACACTGTTCATGACGACTCCACTTTCCAGGTAGACTCGAGAGGCAAAGGTGAGGATGAAATGGGGGGGAACGCCACAGTGCAGATAACCGTGAGGACAGAATCAGAGCCCCTCAGGGGAACTGTCTCAGAGCAGTACTTAGGCTCTTGATGGTAAAGAGCTCAAGCTGTGCAACCTGGGAAAGCAACAGTTCTCCTGATGCAGGTCGGACGTGGGTAGCAGAGTCATTTGAGTTTCTGAGTTCTGAACTGCATTTCTTCACGTTAGCTCCATAGTCTCTTATTTCTACAGTAAAATTCAACCTTATGTTTAGGAAAAAAAAGTGGATGATTTTGACCCAGCCTGCTTCACCTGTACTGTGACTGAGTTTCTGCTCTGTGACGGTGAGTATGTTCCCTGCACAGGAAGGAAAACCAATGTGGGCTGCTGAGGACCTTCCTGAAGAAAGGCCCTGCAAAGAACCAAATCCCTCTCGACTGACTGGCAGGCCGGGCTGACTATAGGCCAAGCCTGAAACTTTTCCAAACACTCCACTCTGCCCCCAACAAAGTCAGGTTCTCTGGGCTGAGGACAAGGTGCAGAGACTGGCCCCAGGTTCACAGAATTTAGGCTGGGAATTTAGGCCAGGGAAGGGCAGGCCACACAGTGCCAGGCAGACCTCATGCAGACCAGGTCCCGGACTGAGCTGCCGAGAGGGGCCCTGTATAAAGCTTGGGGAATGCACCCCTTCGGCCACCCAGGTCTGAGCTGCTGTCCTGGAGCACCACAGCATCTCAAGCACCACTGGCTTCCCTGACGCCCCTGAGTTCCTCAAGGGGAGCTCAGGACCAGACCATCCCAGAAAGAGGCTGTCAGAAGCATCCCTGGGACCTGAATCAGACTCATTGCTAGCTGCACAGGCACCCCTGGGTGCAGGCCCCCTGCATGCTCATTCCCACCTTCAACACCTTCCCCAGGTGAACAGGTGGAACGAACTGGGACTGCAAAGTTACACAGTCACTCACCCTCACTTGTCCGTGAGTCCATCTCAAGGATTATGCTGAAAAAGGGACAGCCAGGAAAGGAAAATGGGCTCCTCAGACCACTTCAGGTGGGGAGCACTTGTGGGGCCATGGCCTTTCCATTTCCTAACTGCAGTTTTGCTCAGAGACCGGAGCAATCCCGGCAAGGCCCGCTGTTGTCAGTAGCTGAAGCTCATGCCCACTGCATGCCAGGCCCCCAGCTCTCATCCACCCTACCCACCAGTTTCCTAAATACTAGTGACTCCTCCTTCCTGCTCACGGGTGCGAGGTGCATAGG